CCACCCCTCACCCCCCACCCCCCCACTCAAAAAAGTATAAAAACAAATTACAGTGCAAAATCTTATTAATTAATTTGCTGATTTTAAATAAATATGTAGCAAGTTTTAAGATGTGGCAAATTTAATAAAATGATAATAAACAGTGCTATTTTGGACCAAATGACTTCAGTTTTCAGTGGGCTACTGTAAAACAATACCAAAAGTAAACAAACTAAAATAGTTACATACTTTTCAATGACAACATAAATTGTTTCTACTTTTCCAGTTTTCAATGAATGACGTAGAACCTTCTTTCAATGATAATACCTTTGGAGGAAAGTATGGAACCCAGGTAAGTTCTTTCATTAAGATTTTATTTAGGGTAATTTGAACTCTGATTCCAGAAAAGAATCAAGAAGGCATTATACATTCAAGCAAAAAAACACCTTGTCAGTTTAATTAAAAGCTGAAGTGTGAAAAACATGGCAACTTTGAAATGTATTCAAGACTGTAAGGTGGATATTTCTAAACATTTTCTTCAGGTTGGTAAGTATGGATTGTGAGCATATAGGACAAACATTAAGTGTTTACATGTGACGTTTTGATGACTAGTACGGTATGTACTCTGTCCTTTATCAGACACATGACCAGTGAAGCGTATGTACACAAAGGTGTAAAATATGTACGAATTGTCAACGCAAATTGATGTTGATTCGGCAATGCTGTAAGCATATGTACAATTAGTTGTTATATATGTACCGAAATGACTCGTACATTTTGTTTAATAGATGTGGGGGAGTCTAGAAAAAGGCCAATCAAGGATAAGAACAAAACCAAATGTCAGGTGGTTATCCCGTATATAAAAAGTATATTTGAAACCATCTAGAGGATATATCTTGGTCATGGCATAGCAACAGCTATGAAGCCCCACAAGACGCTTCATAATATCCTTGTTCACCCTAAGGATAAAACACATAACGAAAACGTTGCAGAATGCGTATACAAAGTCGGATGCAAAAGCTGGGATGCATCGTATACTGGAGAAACTGGCAGGTGATTTGGGGAAACTCAAGAGGGAAAGAAATTCACCCCATCAGAAAGGAAATAGTCGTAGTCCCAAATCAATAAATCGGTAATCACAGACCATGCCAAACAGAAAAATCATGTGATTGACTGGGATAACTTCAAAGTATTGGACAGAGATAGCAATCTGTTCAGGCGGCAGATAAAGGAAGCCATCTGGATACGCTGCAGTGGGCCAGTCTAAATCGAGATGAGGGGGCTTATAGTTATACTCTCGTAGCTGAATCGAGTCATTTTGGTACATATATAAAAACTAATTGTGCATACCCTTACAGCATAGCTGAATCGACATCAATTTGCGTGGACATCTAATACATATTTTACACCTTTGTGTACATAAACTTTACCAGTCTTTTGTCTGATGAAGGTGACAGAGTACATACAGTACTAGTCATAAAAAAAATCAGAAGTTGACTATAACAAAGTTGTACCGAAGTCTTGAATGTTTATGATGTCAGAGCCAGGGTAGTTGGATTTGCTGTATGATGTAAATCAAATGTATTGTTTCTGCACAATACTTGGATACATTTGATGCAATATAACAATCCTGAATTTTGATGTGTAAGATAATGTTCATGTATGGTTATTATATTACAGTATTATTAATGTAATTTGTGAAAATCATGTATGTTGATATTATAGTTTAAGACAATGATCGTGTATGTTGATATTATAGTTTAAGATAATGATCGTGTATGTTGATATTATAGTGTAAGATAATGATCTTGTATGATGATATTATAGTGTAAGATAATGATCGTGTATGTTGATATTATAGTGAAAGATAATGATCATGTATGTTGATATTGAAGTGTAAGATAATGATCGTGTATGTTATAGGTTTGGTGTAGTAATATGATCTTTTATTATGAGGATTATTGATAATTTGCTGTAATGAAATGTGTTGTTGATATTGTAGAGAATGTCCATGGATGGAGCTTCTATAGAAAATCCACTGTATCAGGATGCCTCTTAAAGACTTGTAAAAACGATGTCATTTCTACAGTGCAATTAACTATTACTTACATTTTGAATTAAATATATTATTATCATTATTATTGACAATACAAGAATATTGATTAATTATACTTGTTTTTTTTTGGGAATTCTTATGAATAAAATGTTATAGATTAAAGTTGTTTGTATTAATGTCGTTATTAAAAGTGTATGATCAATTGTAATATATATATATGTGTCCGTGGTGAAGGCTTTATCCTTCTGTGGCATATATGTCATCCAAGTTGTCCGACATCAAGGTCACAAACAAAATGGAAGTCAAGTACAAGGTGTATTGTGTATGGCCCAGGCCACTGAAGCAATGGAGGTACATGTGTGAATTGATCTGGTGATTTATCTTTTATGTAAAGCCTACATTTATTACTGAGAGTAAAACTCCTTAATATATATTAAGATCACCTAAGCCAAAACATTCTGAGAGCCATTGTCATCTGACCATTCATTCATGACCTTTTCACGCGTTGTCTTCCCAGAAAGTATTAATTTTACCGACTTGCTACACGTCATTATGAATTTTTTTTCTATTTGAAAGACGAAATACTAGCTACCCATGCATCTAATCTTATTACAATTTTTCCAAATAAATTACTCATTTATAGCGATGATTGAAATGTTGAGAAGTTTGAGGAGTAAAGTGAGAACCTTCTTTTCTAGGCTGGAGAGACAAATTTGTGTGATAAGCTATAGTGTTTCGGCTTATGAAAAATTGGGAAATGTATATATAGGTAGAGTTTTCTTGGTACGTTCCCAAAGACACCAGGGCAAATGAAACTCCAGCTAGTAGATCATTTACATAGGATCATGAGGTGACAAGGAAATCAAGGGGTCTGATCACAGCCTTATCAGTACCCAGTGTTTATAGGATTATGTTTTGTTTCAAGTAGTTAACAAAACACATTTTTTCGATGTGTCGGCAAAATTGACCTTTGTCCCTCTTGTGAATTCATTTCTGTTGACTTGCTATCACGTGTACAAGATTTGTAGATGTTAAAAAACACTCGAAATTGCTGAAATTCTTGTATTTTATTATATCAAAGTGTTTACATCAATATGAACAAAATGTTCTCGTCTGAGATGAAGCTGTAGACTATGGGCGGCCGTTTTAGGATAAAATACATAAACTACTAAAGTGCAAAAGATTTACAAATACAGTAAATATAGAAACACATAACGTTAAATACAGTAAATATTGAAACACATAACGTTAAATACAGTAAATATAGAAACACAAAACGTTAAATACAGTAAATATAGAAACACTTAACTTTAACTGGAATAAATAAATAAACGCATGACGTTAACTTCAGTAAATATAGAAACACATAGCTTTAACTGGAATAAATACAGAAATGCATGACGTTGACTACAGTAAATATAGAAACACAAAACGTTAAATACAGTAAATATAGAAACACAAAACGTTAAACGTTCCATATGTCTGTTTCAGAAAATATGGAAGCTTGTCTGACATATATCAGTACCTGGATAAACCCCAACATGCTAAAGATTAATCAGAAAAGGACAGAACTAATTGTCTTTTCTCCAAAGTGTCGGCAAACAATGGCTCTCCAGCTCAAGGTCGGTGCAAGAACTATTGAGACTGTCCCAGCTGTTAACAACCTAGGGGTATACTTTGATCGTTCACTGAACATGGAGAAACAAGTGAACGCTATTGCCACATCCTGTTACTACCAGATCAGGAACATCGGCTGTATTCGGCAGTTTATAACTGAAGATGCATGCAAGATTTTGGTGCATTCACTTGTTACCTCTCCATTGGATTATGGTAACGGCCGGACTGTGGTATATCTGACAAACTAACTAGTCGTCTGCAGAGGGTCCAGAATACTGCAGCACGGCTGGTTACTCGTACTCGAAAGAGAGAGCAAATCACACCTGTGCAGTAAATATATACACGTGACCTTAACTACAGTAAATATAGAGACATGGCCTTTACTACTGTAAATTGTTCTCACAATTTTTACAGTTTTCCGAACTTCTACAAGATATATTTACTACATCTACATATCATATTGTTGGTAACACCCCCATATGTCATCAGAGATAATATCCAGTCCCATTTTGAGGATCCAAGCACAAATATCATCAAAATACTAGCTGACCCTTTCCATCGGCGGCCTTTTCTGTTTATGTTTACATTGTCAACACAAAATCATGAACGATGTGCTATACTTACATGTCATCACATGCATCATAGACCATGACTCAAGATGTATACCAAAACCAGTTCACATCAATATCAGTGACTTTCACACCATGTTCTATCACATCACACAAAAGGTTGCGTCCCGAGTCCAGACTACACAGGTCACTCAACTACTCCTCCTTCTCAGCGGTCAAGTAGAATATAACCCAGGCCCATATACACCTAAATACCCATGTATGTTATGCTCAAAAGCAGTGAAATATGGTCAACGTGCACTCGCTTGCGACAACTGTGACAAGTGGTGCCATGTATCATGTATGTCTATGACAACAGCAGACTATGACCTCCTTGCCAACTCTTCAGCTACAGGGATATGTGGTTCATGGAATGCACCAAACCATACAACGTTATATGACTCCATCTCAGTACACAGTAACAGCTTTGAAAGTTTACACTCATTTTCAGCAGTTTCATCAGCACTGAAAATCCCAGTATCTACACATGCACCTGGTACCCCAACAGCCTAGTCTTCTCCAAAAAATAGTCAAACATCGAACCAAGAGAAGAACTACCAATCATTGCGAACTGTTATACTGAACTTCCAGAGTATAAAGAACAAGGTACCTGAAACGCACGTCCTTATTGACAATGCCGAACCTTCCATTATAATAGGAACAGAAACCTGGCTGAATGGGGACATTTTCCCCCCAGAAGTTCTACCACCGAACTATAGTGTATTTAGGAGAGACCGAGCAGATGGATATGGAGGTATTCTTATTGCTGTAATGAACGACATCATATGCACTCCAGTTTTCACCTGTCAAGACCATGACATTCTTGCCACCAAACTTCACATCAACAGGAACAAGTCCATCATAGTTGTTGCCTTCTATAGACCACCAGTAAAACTTCAGATGAATACGCGCAACAGGTATTTGATGAAATATCTTCATTAAGGCAGTCCCATCTAAAGAGTGACTTTTGGATTGGTGGAGATTTCAACTTACCAGACATTGACTGGCCATCTCTAACCACCACCTCCAACCAGTATCCACAAGCACTATCCAACAGCTTCATAAATCTAACCCCCATTGCGGTATAGAACAAATATTCTCTTACCCTGGACAGGTGTTTCCGCATTTTTACCGGTGTGAGATTTCCTTGTCTCACCCTAGGGTTGAGACGGGGGGATTCCCCTATTCCTAACAATGGCATGACGTCACTTTAACAATACAATGACGTCACGTTAACAATCCATCAACGTCACGTCAACCCTGAATTTAGCATGTAACATTATCATTACATTGTGCATATGATACACAATGAAAGAACAGGGTAAGAGAAAAAGAATCATTCACCCCCTTGTGGGAGAGATAGTGGAATCTCAACCCTCGGGGAAAGATTCTTTAGTTGCCAAACACTCGGCAAAGCCTCGTGTTTGGCAACTTCCCTACTAGAAAGGACAAGATTCTTGACCTTTTCTTGACCAGCAATCCATCATTAGTAGACAAGATTTAACCAATACCAGGAGTGGGAGACCATGACGTAGTATTGATTGGCTTATCTATTCGGCCAAGAAGAGTCTAGCCATCTCCAAGAACCAGTCTTCACGAAAGGAGACAAGAGTAAAGCTGCTAATTACAGGCCAGTCTCGTTGACTTCCATCTGCAGTAAGGTCAGTGAGCACATTCTCCACTCTACCAACTTGGACCACTTTGAGACCCACAACATACTTACAGACGCCCAGCACGGATTTCGGAGTAAACGTTCCTGTGAAACACAGGTTATCGCAACCATCCAAGACCTTGCAAAAGAACTTTCCAATGGACAACAGATGGATGTCATACTACTTGACTTTGCGAACGCCTTTGACAAGGTACCCCATCAACGTCTACTTCACAAACTCCACTACTATGGAATCCGCGGTTCAACCCTAAGCTGGATTGGAAACTTCCTTAGCAGTAGAAAGCAGCACGTATTGATAGAAGGAGCTAAGTCAACTGAGGGAGACGTGGATTCAGGAGTTCCACAGGGAACGGTCATAGGACCCCTACTTTTTCTGACTTTCATCAACGACCTGCCTGAACTTGTGAGCTCCTCTGACAAACTGTTTGCGGATGACTGCTTGATATACAGGAACATAGAAACATCTAATGATAGTAAGATCCTACAAGAAGACTTTAATGCTTTGGAAAAGAGGGGAAAAGACTGGCAAATGGCATTCCATCCAGAAAAATCTACCGCCATCCACATCACGAAGAAGAGGAAAATAGTTTACACCAAGTACCAACTTCATGGCCACACCTCCGAGATAGTTCCAGGTGGAAAGTACCTTGGAGTATACATAAGCCAAGACCTATCGTGGCGGGATCACATTGATCAGACAACAGCCAAGGCCTCAATAACAGCAGGATTCTTGAGACGTAACCTCAGGAAAACGTCTCAAGAACTGTCCACAAGCAGTAAAATCTCAGGCATACACCACCTTAGTCAGGCCAGTTTTGGAATACGCATCTGTAATCTGGGCACTATACCATTACCATCAAATGCAACAAATCGAAAACGTACAAAGACAGGCAGCACGATTTGAAATAGGATCATCATGTTCTACAAAATCATCAACAACCTAGTAGAAGTCCCCGTCCATTATCTCCTACAACAGACCAGCAGTGGGACTAGGAGTTCCCAAGCCAACAACATCAGGCAAATAAGCACCAGAGTCGACGCATATAAACATTCATTCGTCCCTGCTACGATCAAGATGTGGAACTCAATACCATCAGATATCAGAGGATTACCAACAGTAGACAGTTTCCGGCACCACATACAGATCATTGATGTGGCCGAACTCATATAGAAATATAGAAACACAACGCTTTAACTACAGTAAATATAGACACACATGGCGTTATCTGTACTGTGAACATAGAAACAGCGTATGTTGTCAGGCACATAGCTGACTAAGACACCAAATTTTCAAACAGAACCCCCCTTACGTAAGCCCTGCCGTGGACCCGCTCATACATGAATCCATTCAGAACAAAGGCTAGCTACATGATGTACGCCTCTGGAAGTGACAAACTACTTGTTTGTTGTTGACTATTTACAGACAAAAATGAAAACAGAAATGATGTGCACAATGATAATCAAGTATGAAATATTAGGATGGATCGACAGGTTGTCAAATTAATACTAATTTGTAAATAATATAACTTTCTTTCAATGAAGGTATTTTGAATACTTATTAGGGGATAGCGTGTTTTTTCGAGTGTCTAACATACTGACGATTAGAACATACAATCTGGTTTGAACATTGTATTTATCATGCTACAAGAACATAGTAAATCGTACTCTGTGACCTGTGTTGTTGCTACTAAATACCATATCTTAACACTAATGGCAGTGTTATGGTCGAATGTGCCGTAAATGCAAGTAAATCGGTTTTCTAATAGTGCACTGTGGTAAATACAATGTACTGACGACCCAATGCTTGTTTACGCTCAGAAATATTTGATAGCTCATTTTCCATTTTCCATTTTATAATGTTTACATAAAAAAGAAACTACATTCATATGACAAATTTATTCAAAAGTTGGGGGGAAAAGACGGCCATTGAAAGCTCCGGTCCCGATACAAATTTTAATTTTGGGCACCGATTTTGCAGTTTGGATTTGTTAAGGACTCAATTGAGATGCATGTACATTAACCTCATCTCAACCGACCCCATCTATATAACCTAAACAGCATTCATCACTTCCTTTACCGAAAATAACTGAAAGTATCATAACTAAGGAAAGCCATTTATTTCAATTTTAATCATTGATACACGCGCATGATTTGAGCTGCTCGTACATGTACCAGTACGACTTGTGTAACATCAAAATACAAAAAGAAAATACATTTAAGCTGCCTGCACCTTTGAGCAAAACCACGGACGGCGTGATGACGTCACATTATTGCTGCGTGACGTCATTCAGGCCTGCTTACAACATTGTTTATTTATAGACATTTCAGTCAAATCTTCTTCTGTACTGGTGCAGGTCGGCATTTTGATGCATGCGTATTTGGACAAATTATTAACTGAAACCCGAACTAATGTGACGAATTTGCCTGTGGGCCTACTAGCGTTAGGCTATATGCTGTGTAAGTTATACGTACATGTACTAAGTATATGATACTGAGATTTCCTGATTGAGGAATAGTTCGTATGTGATTTTCACAATACACTGATCGGATTTAAACATCAAGAACGGTCAAACCAAACATACTTACTATTCATCTATTAATAAATGCAATTAAATTTGCCATTGTGTGCTTAAAACTAACACGGCCCCCTTATGGAACAATCTATATTGTTTTATTAGAAATAGGGCATGGCTTAGGTGCGGTGGTTAAATCTGCCTCGAACACCCTTTTCACGACACATCGCTCTTTAATTCGTTTTCAAACCAATCGTATAGCAGCCTTGTTTATTTAAAATTACGATTAAAATCATTATATTTATTTACACTTACGATAAATTTTTCAATTAAGATTCTCGTAAGATTTTTTTGTGAAACGGAACAAAATCGTAAGTTTTCTCTTACGAGTAAAATTTGTCGTAAGAATTTTTTGTGAAAATGCTCACTGGCTCTTAAGGAATGGAAATTGTAATAGAAAAAATATTAAGCATGATTAAATTGTCAGAACTGTTCTATCAATAAACGTGTTTGTGCAGTTCTATAGTGTTCGATTAGGATAACGTAGTGACAAACTACTCGTCTGTTGTTGACTATTTACAGAAAAGGTTATCTTTGATGGTATTGAGCATACGCCAGAGATTAGGAATATCTATGATCAACAGTCCTACCGCCAACGTCACGAGGACAGTTCCCGACAGATACCCCACCACTTTGGACGAGGTTCGGTGATCAGGGGCTGAGGTCAACGTCCGAATGTGATTAGTGGTTGCACGCTTCGGAACAAGCAATTTCTGTCTCAGCTCCGCCACAAGGTTCACGAGCTCCTCCTGGCTGTAGTTGGTCGTTGAACAGGAGTACCTGTGACACGTGCACGTCTGGTTCAATCCATTTGTAGTGGTGTTTGCATTTTGCCCCTGTGTCGTGCCTGAAGATAACAAGGGAAATTCGTATTGAAATAAGATTTTTACATAAGATACTCACCGATTAGTGCATTCGATTACATTTAAATGCATCTCCTTTATAAACTGACCTGTATGGTTATTACGGAAGTGAAATGTTAACCTCAATTTTATGATAGTGTGATAAAAATCTTCAATAGCTGTCATGTGTCCTGCTGTTTAACACTGATTGTTGTATAGGTACCTGTCGGTACGGACGACTCAGTGCTGTCCTCTTCCATGGAAGATACAGTCGTTCGAGATGAATTTGTCGCCGAGTTTTCAAGTGCGTCAGTTACTGTTGTTGCATCTGTTCCAGTCGTCATTGTGTTTCCAATTTTGGTTTGGGTTGACGAATATGATGATGGAGTGTGTGTGGTAAGTGTCGGCGGCTCAGATGAGGCATTCGTCGACAGCATGGTTGAAGCCTGGGTTAAGGTATCAGAGGTTAGACCAACTGTACTGGTCTCAGTTGTTGGCGACTGCTCATTAGCAAACGTAGTCTGCTCATCGTCTAACTGCAAAAAACAACAACACCACAAACACATTTGATAAAAGGCGAACTGCTTCTTCACTGAAAAAACATTATGACTGAGGTGACCACAGCTGGTACATGCTCGTATTAATGTATTAATTGAACTTTCTCGCTGCTAAATATAGAATAATTGAATACAAAAGGTATATGCTGTGTAACACCTAACTACCAAATGGTTAAGAAGATGACAATTATATCAATGAAAAGCAAAAATATATACTATTTATTGTATCAATGAACAGTTTTAGTTGATTTTCCAACTGGTATCATTGGATAATTGAATACCCATCGTATACGGCCTATACTTATGTAACGTGCAGGCGGTCACCCATCCAACTACTGACCACGATCGACGTTGCGTAAATAGTGAGCGGGTCCCCATGCCATAACGCATCACTTGAAAAGCTACCTTGCCACTAAAGCAGTATTTTCCCCTCATGTTCCTTAGCTGTTACATTATTCCCCCCTCCGAGAAGTTTCGTCCCGAGACTAGGTCTGGGGAATCCCATAGGTCCTCCCTGTGTACCATGCACCTTCCCTAACCACCAGGAACTGGCCGTACATGATCAAACAGAGCCACTACGTGCCACCAAATGTGACGTGCGGGCGATCACCCATCCAACTACGTGAACTAGTGAGCGGGTCCTCGGGTTATAACGCAAAGGCAGTAATTCCCCCTCATGTTCCTATGCTATTAGAGCGATGTTGATAAACAATATATCAAAACGTCAACTTGAAACTGTCAATGACTATACTAGATGAAAGAAGAAACAAAAAAGGAGAAACTACCATTTCGGAAAGTTAAATCTATTGGTTAGGAATAGGAATGTCATCATAAACAATTTGATTTCATGATTTCGTGATTTCACCTAATGACTTCAATTTACAACTTACGTTAAAGATATTTTACTTTTACCCACATGATCTGATCACTCCCCTACCAGTGTCTCCTACCACAAGTGTCCCCTGCCAGTGTCCCCTTACAGTGTCCCCAACCACCAATGTCCCCCTCTAGCAGTGTCCCCACCAACGTCAATTACCACAAGGGTCCCCTACTAGCTTTGGCCCCCACCACCAGTGTCCACTGCCACTGTACCCACCAGTAATGTCCCCAACCAACAATGTCCCCCACCAGCAGTGTCCCCACCAACGTTAATTACCGCAAGGGTCCTCTACTAACCTTGGTCCCCACCACCAGTGTCCCGTACCATTGTACCCAGCAGCAATGTCTCCCACCAGTAGTGTCCCCACTACTAGTGTCACCACCACCAATGTCCCCACCACCAGTTTCCCCGACCCCAGGGTCCCCCACCACCAGTGTCCCCTACCACCATTGGCCCCCATTTACAATGTCCCCAACCACCAAAGTACCTCACCACCAGTGCCTCAACCACCAGGGTCCCAATCACCGGTGCCCCCTACCACAAGTGTCCCATACAAGTGTCCCCTACTAGTGTCCCCCACCAATAGTGTCCCCATCATCAATGTCCACCACCACCAGTGCCCCCTACCGCCAGGGTCCCAAATCACCAGTGTCACCTATCACAAGTGTCCCTCACAAGTGTCCCCTACCAGTGTCCCCCACCACCAATGTCCCCAACCACCAATGTCCCCCACCACCAGTGTCCCCACCACCAATGTACCCCTTCATCAGTTTCCCAACCAGCCATGTCCCCCATCACCAGTGACCCCTACCAAAAGGGTACCCCATCACCAGTGTGCCCTACTACAAGTGTCCCCTACTAGTGTCCCCACCACCAATGTCCCCATCACCAGTGGCACATACCACCAGTGTCCCCTACCCCCATTGTCCCCATCTAACAATGTCCCCCACCAGAAGTGTCCCCTACCACCGTCCCCACCAGCAATGTCTCCCTTCACCGCTGTCCCCTACCACCAGTGTCCTCGACAAGTGTCCCCTACCAGTGTCCCCCACCACTAATTGTCCACGTCAGCAGTGTCCCCACCACCACCGTCTCCTACCACCATTGTCCCCTACTAACAATGGCCCCCACCACCAGTGTCCCCTACCACTGTACCCATTAGCAATGGCCCCCACCACCAGTGTCCTCTACCACTGTACCGACTAGCAATATCCCCTACGACCGTCTCCTATCACCATTGTCCCCCACTAACAATGGCCCCCACCACCAGTGTCCCAACCAGCAGTTTCCCCACCAGTGTCCCCAATCACCAGTGTCCCCATCACCAGTGTCCCCATCACCATTGTCCCCGCTATCAATGTCCCCACAACCAGTGTCCCCTTACCATCAGGGTCCCCTTACCACCAGTGTCCCCCATCACTAGTGTCCCCTACCACAAGTGTCACTTACAAGTATACCCCACAAGTGTCCCCTACCAGTGTCCCCACCACCAATGTCCCCAACCATCAGTGTCCCCTAATAGGAGGCACGGTAGTCCAGTCGTAGGACGCCGGGCTTGTGACCGAAGGGTTGCGGGTTCGCGCCACGGCACGGCAATGTGTATCCTTAAGCAAGTTGGTTGGGCAGTGCTAGAATTGTTGAATGCTAGCTGTTAGTGCTCCCCAGGGAGTTGAGAAATGTACCGGCTAGTTGCAAAGGCCTTATAACCATGGATAATGATTTGAATCGCTTTGAGACGACCTACGAACTAGGTTGTGATAAAGCGGTATAAAAGAACCTCCATTTATTATTATTAATTATACAAGGGTTCTCCATCACCAGTGTGCCCTATCAGACGTGTCCCCTACCAGTGTCCCCCCCCCCCCCCACCAATGTCACATACCACTAGTGTCCCAAACTAACAATGTCCTCATTCACCAGTGTCCCCTATTAATGTCTCCACCAGCAATGTCCCCCACCAGCAGTGTTCCCACCAGCAGTTTCCCCAATCAATGTCCTCCACCACCAATGTCCCCTACCACTGTCCCCATCACCAGTGTCCCCTACCACTGTCCCCATCACCAGTGTCCCCTAACATAGCCCCACCCCTACCATTCTGTAAGCAAAGACCGAGATTGGCGGTTGATGTAGATGTTCATGATTTCAAGTTCAATAGAGTATACGATCAATTTGGTTAATGAACTTCTTTTTTACAGACAAAACATTGTCGATATATCTGAATGTAAAATGGAAGGACTTGATAAGGTCTTTGCTACCTACCCTGGTCATTTACACTCATCTGAGAACAGAAAATATGCGGGCCAAGAGAAGGGTACTGACATAAGAGTTGATCCAAATACTGTAGTGACACGTTCACTCCAACCAGATATATAATGTACTCACTATGGCATGTATAGGATATCCCGTTGCTTCCATACCATGATGTCCATGGATGTAAGCCGAAATCTGGCATCTTTGGCTGCAGTTGATAATGTGTGAACCTATGATGACAGATACTATTAGAAAGCGATATTTCGTCCCAGGTATTGGTTTTAAGACTAGATTTATGTCGTCAAGGGAAATCTCATTACCAGCAGCACTGACCAATACAAGCTCCGCATCAATATCGTCGGGTTTGACAAGGAACACTATCTTGTGTGATTGTGTCTGTAATGGCTGAATTCTGATCATAACAGGGTCAAATAACTGACTTCTAACAAACATGGTCACCGACACAGGTTTGCTCGATACAGTGACGCAGGGAGCGTCCTCCAGATACATCGATGTCGAGGACCCAGCCACGTTTAACATAAACCCTATTGGTGATTCGTGTACACATGTTACCCGTACTGATGTGTTTGGATAGGCTGCGACAAACATGAGTTCGTACGTGGTGGCTGTTGGTGGGACAGTTACGTGCAGTGATCGCCATGCCTGTACCGGGACGAGCTGTTGTACCATGTGGTTACTTGATCCGATTGACATGTACTTGTTTCCACTATACACACTGACGACGGTATTTGACGTTACGTGAGTTCCGGTCAAAGAGTTATCTGTGCTTCTACCAAGAAGCAGTAATGTATCGAACTCATTTAGGGTTGATGTGAAGGAACCTCCTGTCTGAAACGTTGTGCCTTCGTGTGAGAGCATGCCGTTAACCTTTACTGTTACCGTAGTATTGGCATACCCAGCAACAATGAGTATTTCCGCTCGATCCCTGGCAGTGACAGCGAAGTAAGACAAGCCGAGTGACTCTACTGGGATAGCGAGGAAGCTAGCCATGTAGGGGTAGGACCCATTATTTATGCGATTAACTCCTATAACAACAAGTTCGTGGTTCGATTCAATCAAAATACCCTTCCGGCTCCTTCCTGCTTCTGTGACCTCGAAATTCTGTGGAGGGAGAACCTGAAAGCCAGTCATTGCCCAAACATTAATACCAGATTCGCTGAATGTCATTTCCTCATGACCTCTGATGGAGATGGATGATTGTTCTTGACTTGGGTTGAAGATGTAAATGGACAATGCTTTCGTAGCTTTCTTGTTCTTCATGAAGCCCACAATAAAGCGACTACACTGACAAACTGTAAGAAAAAAATAGCTCATAATTTAGCTCAAAATTACCAGGGGTTACCCTCACTTTTGTCATCTGCACCTTTGGAATATGTCGTGAAAAAATCGAAGGCACGAAGTTAGCTATTTGATTGGTTTCAAATGACCAATCCCTTGAATGATGCCTGCCTGTTAGAGATTTATTGGGAATGACACCTGTCTGCAAAGCCATGCCATGCGATTCTTTTGATGTACATGGAAGATAAAATTAGTGTTATTGTGTCATTCACATGGTAGAGCATACAGATCCTTCGATTCTTTCGTGACAAGTAAAGATTGGATACAACGTATAACAAAGACACAACTCAGAATCGGGCACAAAGTGTAACAAGGCCACAACTAAGGATTGGATACAAAGTGTAACAAGGCCAAAACTAAGTATTGGATACAAAGTGTAACAAGGCCATAACTAAGGATTGGATACAAAGTATAACAAGGCCACAACTCAGAATCGAATACAAAGTGTAACAAGGCCACAACTAAGGGTTGGATACAAAGTGTAACAAGGCCACAACTAAGGATTGGATACAAAGTGTAACAAGGCCACAACTAAGGATTGGATACAAAGTGTAACAAGGCCACAACTAAGGATTGGATACAAAGTGTAACAAGGCCACATCTAAGGATTGGATACAAAGTGTAACAAGGCCACAACTAAGGATTGGATACAAAGTGTAACAAGGCCACAACTAAGGATTGGATACAAAGTGTAACAAGGCCACAACTAAGGATTGGATACAAAGTGTAACAAAAACGCAATTAAGGATTGGATACAAAGTGTAACACAAACGCAACTTAAGATTTTATACAAAGTGTAAAAAAGACTCAACTAAGAATTTGGTAAAAAGTGTAACAAGGACACAACTAAGGACTGGATACACAGTGTAACAAAGACTCAACTAAGAATTTGGTACAAAGTGTAACAAGGACACAACTAAGGATTGGATACAAAGTGTAACAAAGACACAACTAAGCATAGGATACAAAATGTAACAAAGACACAACTAAGGATAGGATACAAAATGTAACAAAACCACAATTAAGGATTGGATACAAAGTGTAACAAAACCACATTTAAGGATTGGATACAAAGTGTAACAAAGACACAACTAAGGATTGGATACAAAGTGTAACAAAGACACCTTTAATGATTGGATACAAAGTGTAACAAAAGCATAACTAAAGATTTGATACAAAGTGGAACAAACTAAGTGTAACAAAAACACAGCTAAGGATTGGATACAAAGTGTAATAAAGACACTTTTTATGGTAAGATACAAAGTGAAACAAAGACACAAAGACACTAAGAAAACTAAGGATAGGATATATTGATAAAGTATAATAAAAAAAACAGCTAAGGATATGATAAACTGACGAAACAAAAAACAAAAATAAGGTTCAGATACACTTCTAAAGTATCACAAAGACTAAGCTAAGGACAGGATACACTGACAAAGTATATTAAAGACACCGCTAAGGATAGGATACACTGACAATGTATAACAAAGACACAGCCAAGTTTAGGATACACTGACAAAGTATAATAAGGACACAGCCAAGGATAGGATACACTGACAATGTATAACAAAGACACCGCTAAAGGAAGGATACACTGACAAAGTATAATAAGGACACAGCCAAGGAAAGGATACACTGACAATGTATAACAAAGAGACAGCCAAGGGTAGGATACCCTGACAAAGTATAATAAGGACACAGCCAAGGAAAAGATACACTGACAATATATAACGAAAACACAGCTAAGGAAATGATACACTGACAATATATAACGAAAACACAGCTAAGGAAAGGATACACTGTCAATGTATAACAAGACACAGCCAAGTATAGGATACACTGACAAAGTATTACAAAGACACAGCCAAGTATAGGATACACTGACAAAGTATAACAAAGACACAGCCAAGGATAGGATACACTGACAATGTATAACAAAGACACAGCCAAGGATAGGATACACTGACACTATTACAAAGACACAGCCAAGGATAGGATACACTGACAATATATAACAAAGACACAGCCAAGGATAGGATACACTTACAAAGTATAACGAAAACACAGCCAAGGATAGGATCCACTGACAAAGTATAATAAGGACACAGCAAATGATAGGATACACTGACAAAGTATTACTAAGACACAGCCAAGGAAAAGATACACTGACAACGTATAATAAGGACACAGCCAATGATAGGATACACTGACAAAGTATCATAATGACAAAGCCAATGATAGGATACACTAACAAAGTATAACGAGGACACAGCCAAGGAAAAGATACACTGACAATATATAACAAAGACACAGCCAAGTATAGGATACATTGACAAAGTATATTAAAGACACCGCTAAGGGTAGGATACACTGACAAAGTATAATAAGGACACAGCCAATGATAGGATACACTGACAAAGTATTACAAAGGCACAGCCAAGGATAGGATACACTGACACACAGCCAAGGATAGGATACACTGACACACAGCCAAGGATAGGATACACTGACAAAGTATAACGAGGACACAGCCTAGGATAGGATACACTGACAATATGTAACAAAGACACAGCCAAGTATAGGATACACTGACAATGTATAACAAAAACACAGCCAATGATAGGATACACTGACAAAGTATTACAAAGTCATAGCCAAGGACAGGATACACTGACAAAGTATTACTAAGACACAGCCAATGACAGGATACACTGACAAAGTATTACAAAGTCATAGCCAAGGACAGGATACACTGACAAAATATTACAAAGTCATAGCCAAGGACAGGATACACTGACAAAGTCTTACTAAGACACAGCCAAGGACAGGATACACTGCCAAAGTATTACTAAGACACAGCCAAGGACATGATACACTGACAAAGTATTACAAAGACACAGCCAAGGACAGGATACACTGACAAAGTATTACAAAGCCACAGCCAAGGATAGGATACACTGACAAAGTATTACAAAGCCACAGCCAAGGATAGGATACACTGACAAAGTATTACAAAGTCATAGCCAAGGATATGATACTCTGATAAAGTAAAATAAAGACACAGCTACGGTTGAAAACATTGACAAATTATAACAAAGACATAGCCAAGGATAGGGTACACTGACGCAATGTATAATAAAAACACGACTAAGGATAGGATACACTGACAAATCACACAAGGACACAGCTAAGGAAAGTTTACATTGAAAAAGTATATTAAAGACACCGCTAAGGGTACGATACACTGACAATGTATAACGAAGACACAGCCAAGGATAGGATACTCTTACAAATTATTGCAAAGACAAAACTAAGTATATGATACACTGACAAAAAATAACTAACCCTCGAAGAAATCAATCATATAAATACAAGCACAAATAAATAGTATTCACTTGAAGAATCAAACTGCAAAATTAAACTCGCTCTCCAACAACAGAGTAATCATTACAAACGCAACAAATACTATTTATCCTCAAAAGGGAAACTTCTCAAAGAAATGAATTTAATATTATTCATCCAAAATTGCATTGGGTTATTTATGAATATGGAAATCATCACAAACACAAAAGATTTTTAAGTTTCGAAAGAAATGAGTTAACCATTCGTCCAAAATAGTAAACTTGATCCATAGAAATGGAACAAACAATACTCACCCTCTAAAGCGAGAACCATTGCAGCACAAAATCCAAGCACAAACTTTTTGAGTGGAACCATCTTGATTGCTGAGCTGCTAGAACGGCACCCGGATTGTCGTTTCAGAATGTGTATCGATAACATGATCATGTGACGTGTCGCGTTGACATATTGCTAGGGTTGTGTAGTGAAGACTAGACTGAATCAATGGAGTGTTTACATCGATCTAGGAATCAATGCTATTAATCTTTAAATATTACGATAAACTAATTGTAATGTTCGTGTTAAGCGTGTTTTATCTCTGTTGTTATAGATTGCAAACACAAATTCCGCGATCCATTTAACCATGGCGAGTAAGATTTTGCAAACCTTGACGTAATAAGATGATATATTTACATTCTGTATGCTTAGACCCATTGACAAAAATTACATTCATAAATGCATAACACAGGTGTTCATAGAATCTCAACACGTGGGAACTGATAGTAACCTGATCACACTGCGTAGTAATACACTACAAAAACTACTCACTCGGAACGACCGAACTAGATGCTTAATTCTTACATCTTAAAATATTATTGAACTGTGCTTTGTGAAATATCCACGTATTCAGGTGTCCTGTGCTACAAATAAACATTGAATATGGAACTACATTTTGTTGTGTTATTGTTGTTGACGGTTGCTAAGATCTCTCACGATAGTGTCACATTTCCCCGCGAAAAAACACTGTTCTCGCCACTGCGTTGCACCCGTGTATAAGCAGGAACAAACCCTGTTTATTTGTTTTATTCGTTGTTATATCGATCCACTGAAAGGATTCGTCAATGTAAATATAAGGAATGATATTTATTTTTTCAACATTTATGAGGTCATAACAACAATGGGTTTTTGGACATATTTTACATGAATCGCTAACGCGATTCATTCAATATGTCCATAAACCCATTGTTGTTATGACCTCATAAATGTTGAAAAAATAAAAATCATTCCTTAAATAAAAAAAAAATTGGTGCACTGTATATAATTTTCTTGGTGTTTGATGTTTTATTGTTAATGTGCCCTTCTTTGGTCAATGGAATGTCTTCTATTTTTGAAAGCTATCTTTATTTGATAAACATCATGAACCTTACCGCGTTTATGATATACGAAGTTATATCAAAACTGCTGTTATTGCCAATTATCATCACGCTCGG